TGCCAGTTTTGCTGTCTGAGAATTCCGAGAGCTCGCAGAGCGAATCTTGTATGAGAAAATCGTTGTCGAATTATCGCGGATATTGTTAATCGAATTTTTCGATACTGCCGGTCATTTTTGTTTACGTCGCGCGACTTGCGGATCAGTCAGATCGGTGATCAGTGAGATCGAATTTGTGTTGTAAACTGCCTGAAGGCCGCGCTGAAATATTCGCGAATAAACTTGTTAATAATTAACTATTGACATTAATTACTTACTGGCCTCTCTCTCTCTTTTCTCAAATAGTGTCCTGACCATCTCCTCTATCGGGTGACTTCTGAGTAACCGTGCATTCTGTTGCGTGCCGCGCCTCGATCTATATACGAACAAAATTGAAAAATTGAACGAACTTACAGTGAAATTCGATTACAATTATGCCGTCTCGTCCGGATGGATATATTATAGTCGCGCTCCGTTGCGCTGTCTCCAACAGGTTTCTTAAAAGTTCATTAAAAAGCCAAAAGGTGGCGTTCTCACGACTTCGGCCGTAACGCGCGCAAAGGACTACATTGTGTTTCTATTGTGAACGCAGCTGTTGCTGCGTTCTTCAACAGCTTCGTGAACATCTTCTTCTTTATTCTTTATACTAGTGCTTCCTTTTAGAGAGCATGGACAAGTCTAAGAAAAGGAAGAGGTCATCTTTTCATGACCGTTTAGCAGATCTCGAGGATAAGCTGACACAATTAATCGAAGTCCTGGCACAAAAAGAGGTTAGGAGATCCCGATGCCCCTCTCGATCCTCTCCTCTATCTTCATTCCCAAGTTGTCAAGACGACCAGGCGAGGCAGAAGGAGACATTGCCTGATAGAAAACGCTATCCCGGAAGCAGATTCCAATCAAACAAACCCCGTGCCGGGGGATTGTTTTTGGACAGCGCCTGCGAGACAGAAAGGGCTCCCAGTCTTGAATAACTCAGGTGTGTACGTGCTTTCTGGGTCTATATTTGGAGAATATAGGCGGAAAAATCGACATAACCTTTTTCCGAGATAGACTTATAACTCTTTATATGTGACAGATTCGATAGATAAAGGTAGCATTTGGATCTTCCCCGATGGTTGAGATTATGCAGACGGACAGCTCTCTGCCCACGGTTCTGCCAAGTAATGACCTTGCCAAAGTTATTTGCCTCGGAACTCGAAAAGGAGCAGGTGGACCCTGGAACGAGCTAGTCTCCGATAAATGGCGCGACCTTACACGTAAGGGCCTCCCCATTGATCAGTCTTCTAAAGAAATACTCTCCCTCTGAGGAATTTGCTTTCCTCAAGGCTCCCAAGCTCAATCCAGAGCTTAAATCCAGGTTAAAGAGCAAGATCGATCTCATATAATTGGTTGCATGAAAGAACGTTAAAGATAAATTAATACATTATAGTAAATATTGAAATAAAAATTTTGTAGCGACAATAACAACAATAATAATAATAGTAATAAATAGTAACAGTAATAATAATAATAATAAT